TGGAAGATGGGTGTCGAGCTTGGCGAGTTGGTGTGAAATTCTGGTCAACGTCACCACAAGGACTGCAGGTCGTCAGACATGGCCACATTCTCCAAGCTTTGCTGAACGTGTTGTCGAAGCTCAAGTACTACAAGTCACCAGGCAAGACCACATGCTCGGAGTGCTGGTTGCTAGATCCTATCGAAGTCCCTGGACTGCACGCGGTCATGCAAGGCTACATTCTGATTCCCGAAGTCAGAGCGTTTTTTAGGCTCTGGTTGGCAACACTACCGAATCTCAAGAACTGCAAGTCGTCAGGCAAGGCCGCACTCCCCAAGTTCTGTGTGAACAAAACGCAGAGGTTCAAGGACTGCGCGTTGCCACGCAAGGCCACATATGCCAAGTTCAACCAAGCAACGCCACGTTTTCCAATCTTTGGCTACAAACACTGCCGACTTTCAAGAAATGCAAGCTGTCAAGCGAGGCACATTTTCAAAGCACTGCGTGAACAAGCAGCAGAAGCTCAAGGACTGCGAGCTACCACGCATGACCTCATTCTCCACGTTCAACCCGCAGTCAAGCAAGCCACATTGTTCAAGCTCTGGTGGCAAACACTACCGAATCTCAAGAGCTACAAGCAGTCAGGCATGGCCACACTTTCTCAAGCTCGGTGTAGACACAACTCAGGGCCCAAGGACTGTAAGTAGTCACGCAGGCCACATTCACTGAGTTGAACGAGCGGTTAAGCAAGGCCACGTTCTTTCAAGCACTGGTTGCACACACTACCAAATCTCAAGAACAGCAAGCGGTCAGGCCAGGCCACATTCTCAAAGCTCTGCGTGAACAAAAAGCAGAAGCTGAAGGACTAAAAGCTGCCACGTAAGGCCACATCTCCAAGTTTTATAAGGGGTAAATGGGGCCACGTTTCGTCAAGCTCTGGTGGCAAACACTGCTGAATCTCAAGAACTGCAAGTTGTCAAGCAAGGCGACCTTCTCCAAGCACTGCGTGAACCGCTTACAGAGCTCACAGACTGCAGGCGTCCACGCAAGGCCACATTATTCAAGTTCAACAAGTGGTCACGCAGGGCACTGTGTTTTCAAAAGTCTGGTTGCAACCACTCCTGAATCTCGAAAACTGCAAGCTGTCGGGCAAGGAGACATTCTCTGAGCTCTGCGTGGACAAATCGCAAAAAACTTTAACCAAGCATTACGTCAGTAAGAACGAGAAAAGAAAGGAAAAGGAAAAACGTTGTTGAACTCTCTATATAGCAAAAAGAATGTTGCTAACCTCTCCGGATGCTGGGTCAGGACTAACAATCGAGGAACATACGGCACGCCGGCCGTCTTGCTGGGCATCGGTGGCACCCACATTAGTGGGCCCGGCATGTTACTAGTGCACGAAAACAGTAGGACTTTGCATTCTCACTCGCCAGGTGAGCTCACATTTTTGGATTATCCTATGCGTCCGCACCGAAGTGAAGACTAACATAGGCAGCATGAACGCGTAGGAGCGAGGCTCCACCTACACCCGCGGCCCAAGGCGAGGGCGGGCTGGCTGTATAACACACTTTTTGTTTTAGTGCTTCCACATAAACTGGTAGATGGAGATGCTCCGAAGGTAGAGATGCTCAAGCAAGAGGTAGTAGAGGAGCCCGAAAGTGATGAGGTAGAAGGGTCGCGAATGAAGGTTTATATGAAATATGCTATAAGGTACTTGAAATGCTCCTGCAACTGTGCTCATAACGCTCAGATGCTCTGCAAGTCATGCTCTGATGCTCCACCACTCATGCTCAACCAAGCTTGCTCACCACGCTCACACTTCATGCTCCCGCAACTCTGCTCATCGCGCTCCGATGCTGCACAGCGCATGCTCATATGCTCTAACACTCATTTTCCGAACCTTCTCCATGCTTTCGTCCATCATCATGCTCGACATGTTCCATCACCATGCTAAAATGACATGCTCACGCAATGCTGCTCAGCTGCTATTCACAACACACAAGCTGAAAGCATCACGATCCACTCAAGCTTGATGGGCTCGAGGTCTTCTGGGGTTTGGGGTGTGTCATGCTCACGGCATCAAGAATTCACCCACATGCCAAGCAAAATACGAAATCCAGGTTGAAAACTGCGTTGTGGTTGAGGTAGTAGAACAACAGCGAGGATGGCACCAATGCACAGCGTATGTTACAGGATGTCTATAACCATCACTGCAGGTACGTCAACTCCGCGTCCGGAGTTGATTTCACCACCATTGGTCAGTGTCTTCGTTGGCAGGAGACTGACCAAGGTGCTCCTGCCCCCTGCTTGTTCACGAACCCGCATGTACAGCGGTGTGCCACACACACACACACACACGGAGATAAGAGAGTAAACTCTCACTGGCTTCCCTGTCCGAAGATCTTATGCATGGTGACGAAATTGTGGCCGATGTCCCAAGGTGCAAGCCATCTGGAGCGTTCGGACTTGAAATTATTTGAGGACCGAGGATTCCGGGTTTTGAGGGTACATGATGTCACAAGCAGTATAGTGGATACCAGCTGCAACAACTTGCCCAGGTACTCCACGCGCAGGTACGTTTTCCTGCCCGATGACATAGAGCTTCGTTGGCGCGAGCTATGTCAAAGGACCTCGCGCCCCCTGCATAAAACACATTCACCGTCAGTCTTCTATACGAAATGTCCGGCCAAGCCTTAGAGACTTTCCAAAACCCTTAGCTTAGAATCAGGGTGCACACACACACGCCCCTCGGTCAGAGGGGACGGCCCAAAACATGCGGTACTTCCGACAACGGGAAAGTGAAAGAAGACATGGCGTCACACAGATCCTAGCCACCAAAAAAAAAAGGAAAAGGTTAAGGCTGAATAAGGAGCCGAGCATCGCCAATCCATCCATAAAATTCCATTGGCGCTAAGGCCTCTATTGCGGTCCGGAGGACCTCCATTAGGCCCCACCTCGGGCCACACGGGTGCTAAGACCCACCATTCTTGCTCTTGGGACTAGCCCTCTGTTGCCCATCCACCTGAAAGTTACTCATCGCTCGAGAGCGGTCTAGTGGGCTCCATGCGTGGCACTAGGCCTCTCGACCCAACCTGCCAGGTTATTGGGCCTCCATGGTACCATGATGAGTCGCACAACGACCCGTACAGCTCCCTCGCGGGATAACTGCGATTGGCAACAAGGCCACACACGGAGATAAGAGAGTAAACTCTCACTGGCTTCCCTGTCCGAAGATCTTATGCATGGTGACGAAATTGTGGCCGATGTCCCAAGGTGCAAGCCATCTGGAGCGTTCGGACTTGAAATTATTTGAGGACCGAGGATTCCGGATAGAGGTCGGTTATTGCCCTCGGGGTCAGGCCGAGGATTTATCAGGATAAATCCCCTGGGGTCTGAGGGTAATGTTAGTTTTTTCTTTTTTGGCTTGAGGCCTTTGGCATTTCTCATTTGGACATGTTCGGCTCAAATCCATGCTATCATCGGAGGAGAAGTCGGAGAGCACATGAATGGGATAAAACCCCAGGGCCCGACCCCTGCTAATGACCTCTCTTTTTCTGACTCCACACCCCAGGCGTCAAGAATGTCAAACTTGGAATGCTAGGAATTCTAGGATTATGAGAGGGCAAGGAATAGGCATGTATAGGCTCACAGAATTTAAGGTGGAGGGTTTCGGCATCGTGGGCTTTAGTGAGCAGATCGGAATAAGTCTGGGTAAGGTCGGGGAGTGGGGGGGTGGTGTTTGAGAAAACGGCCCCAGAATAAAGTCCCTGGGGCCTGACCCTGAGGTCAGACCACCAGGACTTCACCCAGACCCAGCTCCGGCAGCAACAACGGAGGGCGGGTTCACCCAAAACACGCCCAAGAAGCATCCAGATAAATTCCCTATGGCCTTACCCCCGAGTGGAGCCTCTGGGACTTTAGCCTTCAGCTGTGGGTTACGCCATATTCCTCAGATACGTCAGGAACGGGGCAGATAGGAATGAGTCGGAATGAGGTCGGCACTATGTGTTTGAGAAAACAACAACCCCAGAATAAATTCCTTGGGGCCTGACCCTAAGGTCAGACCACCGGGACTTCACCCGGACCGTGGCGGTGCACCCCAGGCAGCAGCAGCAGCAGCAGCAGCAGCAGCAGCAGCGGCAGCGGAAGGCGGGTTCACCCAAAACACGCCCAGGGCATACTTTTCTCCCCTGTTTGTGACAGGTACCATTGCATTGAAGCGCTTTGGACACAGCGGCACCAGAAAGGTGACATGAACTGATGCACAAATCGTGTATGATGCTGATGCTAGATGCCACTCCCAGCACAAACAAGGAGCCGGATAAATTCCCAGGCTCGACCTTCAATGCAAACCCTTGTTGTCTGACAAAACATACAACGATGACCCTCCGTCTCTAACCAATCTAACCCCGCGCGGGCTGGATAAATTCCCAGCGGGCCATGACAGAAACACTCTGGATAAAACCCCTAGCTCAGGATAAATCTTCCGGCCTGAGCCCCCCGTTTAATCTTGGGGGTAACCGAGGTCTATATTCCGGGTTTTGAGGGTACATGATGTCACAAGCAGTATAGTGGATACCAGCTGCAACAACTTGCCCAGGTACTCCACGCGCAGGTACGTTTTCCTGCCCGATGACATAGAGCTTCGTTGGCGCGAGCTATGTCAAAGGACCTCGCGCCCCCTGCATAAAACACATTCACCGTCAGTCTTCTATACGAAATGTCCGGCCAAGCCTTAGAGACTTTCCAAAACCCTTAGCTTAGAATCAGGGTGCACACACACACACAGACACAGACACAGACACAGAGACACACACACACACACACACACACACACACACACACAACAACACACACACACACACACACACACACACACACACACACACGCACACACACACACACACACACACACACACACACACACACACACACACAGAGAGACACACACACACACACACACACACACATAGAGCCACACGATCTCCACAAAAACACATCTCAGTGGCTTCTGAAGGCTCCTGCGCCACCCGGCTGGTGGCATCTTCGGTGCAGGTGCAATTACCCTCGGCTTCGGTCTCGCGTGAAAAAAAGTCAGTGGAACAATCCTCAAAGCAATTCCACTGCGAAGCTACACACAGCTCGCAACGAAAATGTACTCTGTGTGTATATATACATATATTGCATGTATTTATTTATATTCTATATGTTTCTATACTATTTATATATATATATATATTATGTTTTTATACATATTATGTATGTGCCGATCTCACACACTTATCAGACCGAGCCACGGCAGATCGCTGCAAGGCATCGGTAGAGGAGGCCAGTCCTTTTTCTGTTACCGTGTCGGCTGTTCAAGCGAGCAGTGTGTAGCCGTGCAACCGTCGACCCTGCCCCAACATCCTCTTCTTCATCGGAAGAAGCCCGCAAAGGCTCCACAACGGGATCTGCCAGAATGTATATACGCTTTCAGCACTCCAGGGGCATAGGGTCAGCAAGACGAAAAAGACACCCCATGGCGAATCGGCATCACACCAAAATCTCGCAATGCGAGGCCAAGCAACCGTTTGACCTGAATGAACCAGACTAGCCGACGAGCAAAAAGAGGAATCAGGGATCTTTGTCGGCAACGCGTGCCTGGCTCGGCCTGCATCGTCCTCAGTGAAAAGGTTGAAACCACGGCGTGCGCTTCGGACAGGGCAAACAGGCAACCTGCTCGTTGACCCCTGAACCTGCTTTTTTGTTCACCCGGTCCTGCTCTTTACCCTGAACCTGTTGTTCTGACACCCCTTTCTGACCCCGGAAACCCGTTTCCTCCCCCCCTTGCAGGAAGCTGCTTACGTGCAACGAAAGGGAACCAAAGATGCGTTGGGCTCTTGAGCTCTGGGCTGCAAGCCTTACGTATACTCACGGGCGCACGCCCACACGAGAAAGAATGGTGGGAATGGTGGGAATGGTGGGAATGGTGGGAATGGTGGGAATGGTCGGTGGTGGGAATGGTGTGATGGTGTGGGAAAGCTGGGAATGGTGGGGGATGGTGGGAGTGGTGGGGAATAGAAGTGATTGGTGGGAATGGTGGGAATGGTGGAATGGTGGGAATGGTGGGAATGGTGGGAATGGTGGGAATGGTGGGAATGGTGGGAATGGTGGGAGTGGGAAATTGGTGGCAACGGAGGGTGAGAAGAATGGCGGGGAATGGTGGGGATGGTGGGTGAAGGGCTGGCTCTGAACACTAAGGCCACTAAGGCTTCAGGAAAGATCTAGGTCCAGGAGCGGCTCCTTATGAGAGGGCTGGGCTCGTGAGGGGGCCCTAGTCCCAGTGCGGCATTCACGTCCAGGTGGCAGCACTTTCCCTGCCATGCGGGCGATGGCCAGCGGGGAGCCTCAGATTCTCGGTGCTAGATTCTGCTTTTTTTCGGATCTCGCAAGTGCCCACACCGAAACGGGCCTGGTGCAGATTGCCGGCGCAGCTGCTGGAGCTCCTCCAGGCTCTCGGAGTGGGAGCCTGTCCGGGAGCTTTGGCTTCGGAGAATTCTCAGAATTCTCGCCAATTCTCGCTATGTGACGGAAGTCACACGAAGCAGGCAACACATGACGAAGCAGACTCTCGCTTGCATCTACACGCGCACCTGCGAGGGCCTGACCTTGGTGATGCGCAGTTTCCGGTCTGAAGTTGGCACAGCACATTGAAATATTGAAACATTGACATATCACCCGCGACCCCTGTTGCATGCCTTCTGGCTTCGCTGGATGTTTTGGAACGGCCGGAATGGGAATGGGGGTCGATGCAAGTCAAAAAAGATCCCCTAAACTCCCTAAGCGTTGCAAGCTGTAAACACCCCAAAGCACCCTAAGCCTGTCAGCACATAAACGTAAATAAACCCTCCAAACCGACGCCATTCATCACTGCAGCCCTAACCCCAGCGGCGGTAACCGCGAGAAACCCTCAAACTCCGAAAAGAGGCTAAGCCGCGGCTAAGCCCACAAGAACCCATGAAGCCGTAAACCCCTAAAATAAGTACGCATTTCTGATCGTAGGCGGATCGCCAATCTTCGCATCAGAGGGATTCTTGCGGTGTAGTGAAGGCCAAGAGGCGGCGAGCGTCAGCATCTTCCAGCTCCTCTTTTCCTCCCAAAACTCCCGATGTTACTTTCCTGGCTCGGGTTGTTGACTTTCCCGGTTGTTTTTCTGTTCTTCCAACTTCATGTCCCAAAGTCACGTGCGAGCTGAGCAGTTGCGCACTCCTCGTAGAATCGAGGGCCTGCAGGGACAGCTTGGGACTCTTTGCACAGTTGCCTCTGCCAAAAAGCCGACAAACCAAAACAGACCTAGAACAATGAGGTGTGTACGTGGTGTTTTGCCGAGAAAGCTGTGCATGTCTCAATGCACATGTCCCGCTTGAGCCTTCGGCTCTTCCGGTCCTTCTGCAGCTCGATCTCAACACCTGCCTGGGACTCTGGCAACCCACTGTTGAAATCGTGAAAATGTGCGAAATTACTTGCACTTTTGGCGATGCGCAGCAAAGCATGCCTGCATCTGCCGGAAGATGTAGTCGAACTTCTGACGCCACACCTGACATTGTCGGTATGGCCATGATCATACACCCCAGGACCCCAGGAGCCTCTTTCCGTATAAGGTCTTGGTGGAATCGTTCAACCTGGGTGTGTTGGCCGAGTGCTGCCCACTACCGCTTTTCTTTTAATGCGCGAACATCACGGAACGCAGCCGCAGACGCTCCAGCAACAAGGCTCGTGCCTTTCGCGGCCGCTGCTTGCCGTCGGCAGCTGTCCAAGAAACGAGTTGAAAGAGACGGGATACGGACTTCCTTCTGTTCTTCAACATTCTTCAACTCTCCAACTCCAGCCTTCAATGCCATCAACTCGGCGGGCAGCCACAGCCTGACAGCTCACAAGAGTCCGAGTCTCCAGCGCCAAGAGCTCCGACATACTGACATAACCCGCATTCTTCAATGTCATGTGAGAAAGGCGGGCCTCGAAAGCATCAATCGCGGCTTCCTGCGGCAGTCGCTGCGCGTTAATCACTCTAAGGAAACCTCCGGTCCAGAAACACAGCTAATTTACACAAAAGAAGGAAATAATTGAAGCTGAGTGCTTCGAGCAAGAACCTGTCGCATTCCACGGGATCCCTGCGCCTCCAAGTCAAGTGGAGAAGCCTCAAAAGAGGCGGTCTCAAGGACCGGAGCCAGGGCTCGATAAACAGCACGTCTGCCTTTTTTGAGCATTTTTGAGGCTTTGCTGCAAAAGCCCCCCTCTCTGCAAGCCAAGGAGCCGCAGCCCGCATCCTCGTGTTTCACACTGGACACACTAAGTCGCGAAGCTCGGGCCCTGCTCAGTGCAGCCTGGTTCTAGCCATCGGGGTGGGAGAGGGAGTCCGGCTGCGTCTCTCCATGGCGGCCTCGTGTCCGCACATCACGAAAAAGGCGCATGGATCTCACAAGGCCAAACCAGCGCAACTCCGACTATTCAGAATATGAAGAGCTTTTCGAGCCTTGCTATAGAATAAAGCGACTACAGGATTGGTAATCACGGCAACAATTGCTAAACACCTGATTGGTTTCATGTCATGCAGCAGACGTAAGCCATCCACATCCTCAAAAGTAGCTAGAGCAGAGGTGGCAAGTCGCCAGCGATGGTAAGTTGTGGTACAGTAGCACTCAGAACAGCAGTGACAGCAACGACTGACACACGAGCGACACCCAATGAGATTCGGCCTGCTCCAGTCGCTCCTGCACACGCACCACGGCGAAAAGAGAACACACACACACACACACACACACACACACAAAGATCGAAGTGAGCACGTTCCACAAGACCCGACGAGATCCCCCCCCGCCAGCAGACCCATCTCGGCATGCGCACCTTCCGCGCCTTCTGCATGCGCCGTCGAATGGTGATGACCTTAGCTAAGTCCAAAAGACCTTTCCGGCAACTACGTGATGCAAAACACGATGAAAATGATGCAAATGATCTAAACCCAGATGTAGCCCTCTGGCGCTAAGACACTGGCACTGTCGCCCGGCCTGAACCAGGCCGACTCGACTGCGAACGCAACAGAATGCACAGATCACGCCGTGCAAACTCCAGGCCTGGCCTGAAAGCGGCCACATCCTCCTCCACCGCCTCTTCCTGAGCATCCTTCTCCTTGTCCTTCTCATTGTCGCTCTCTTCTTCTCTCTCCTCACCATCAGCCATGACCTCGGGCTGCCAGTGATAGCCGTCGACTAGCAGCAACTCCAACTGCTAACACTTTAAGCTCCTGACCGAGGATGTTGGCACTCTCTTGAAGCCAATTTCGAGCCAAGAGTGAGCAGCGAGCATAGCTTCGCAACTTCGCACAGCATCACAGGCTATACAACTGAAGTCGTAGATGTGCCACTGCCTATACGATGCAAGAAGTCTGAAAAAAGCAGAGAGCCCACCCGAACGCCTGCCAAGAGCCCAAGCAATCCACCAGAATCCTCGGAAAGGAAATGAGGGACAACCGGCAAAGGTTTACATTGGGTCGGTCGTGAACTGGCATTGTGGACCAAGCTCTGTCCCTCTTTCTCTCCTCCAGGGGCAGGTTCGTGAGCTGGGAGAGGCCGACACTGGCGCCGTCGATCTGCCAAAGGATGTGGCAGAACTCCGACAATTCAATCAAGAGTGTGAACCTCACTCTAGTGCTCTCGTGAATGTCCGCTCTTCGCACGCCCACAAACCCTTTACAAATCTTGACATCCCAAAGTGCTTGTACAAGTCTTGACATCCCAAAGTGCTTGTTGTGACTAAGCCTCACTCGGAAGTCTGCGCTCACATACAAAGTTGGCATCCGGGCAAGTCGGCTAGTCTTCATTCTTCAAAGTGGGTTCTGTCTCAGGCTGCAGCAGTGTCACCCTGGGCCGAGGCGTCCCTGGCGACTAGCCAGAAGACGAGCAGGCAAAGGACGACGAAAGCCAAATCCTGCACAACAATCATGACTCAGGTTTGCGTGAATCAACAATGAAGCGAACCACACTTCACGCCAATGACTGTTGACATGCATCTAGCGCCCTTCCTCGACATCGGCTTCTTCGGGGACCCCCGCCGGCGCGGCACCCACGAAAGCCTTGTAGCATGCGCGTACAGCATTGGCAAGGGCACATCTCCGAGTGCTTCAGCAAGCTCAAACCGTGTCTCTGTGCGTCCCTGTGTGTCAGTGTGTGTCTGTGTCTCTGTGTGACCCCGTGCCTCTCGGTGCGTCTTGCTGCGTCTCTCTGCGTGTGAACGTGCTTGCGCGCGCGCGTGTGTGACTGTGTGTGACCGTGTGTGACTGTGTGTGACTGTGCGTGACTGTGTGTGACTGTGTGTGACTGTGTGTGGCTGTGTGTGACCGTGTGTGACCGTGCGTGACTGTGTGTGTCTGTGTGTGACTGTGCGTGACTGTGTGTGACTGTGTGTGACTGTGTGTGGCTGTGTGTGACCGTGTGTGACCGTGCGTGACTGTGTGTGTCTGTGTGTGACTGTGCGTGTGCGTGTGAGTGTGCGTGTTGTGGTGCGTGTGAGTATAGTGAGTGTGAGTGGAGTGTTTTGGGGGGGAGGGTGTGCGTGTTGGTTGTGAGTGTGCCGTGTGCGTGTGAGGTGATTCGTGTGCAGTGTGCGTGTGCGTGTGCGTGCGTGTGCTGTGCGTGTGCGTTGCGTGTTGCGTGTGAGTGTGTGCGTGTGCGTGTGCGTGTGCGTGTGCGTGCTGTGCGTGTGCTTTCGTGGTGCGGTGCGTGTGCGTGTGCGTGTGCGTGTGCGTGTGCGTCGTGCGTGGTGTGCGGGTGTGTGCGTTGCGTGTAGTGTGCGTGGTGTGCGTTTTGGGAGCGTGTGAGTACGGTGAGTGTGCGTGTGCGTGTGCGGTCGCGGTATATGTCTGTGTGTGTGTGTGTGATGTCTGTGGTGTGTGTTCGTGGTGTGTGGTGTGTGTGTGTGTGTGTGTGTGTGTGTGTGTGTGTGTGTGTGGTGTGTGGTGTGTGGTGTGTGTGTGTGTGTGTGTTGTGGTGTGTGTGTGTGGTGTGTGTGTGTGTGTGTGTGTGTGTGTGTGTGTGTGTGTGTGTGTGTGTGTGTGTGTGTGTGTGTGTGTGTGTGTGTGTGTTTGTGTGTGTGTGTGTGTGTGTGTGTGTGTGTGTGTGTGTGTGTGTGTGTGTGTGTGTGTGTGTGTGTGTGGTGTGTGTGTGTGTGTGTGTGTGTGTGTGTGTGTGTGTGTGTGGTGGTGTGTGGTGTGGTGTGTGTGTGTGTGTGTGTGTGTTGTGTGTGTGGTGTGTGTGTGTGTGTTGTGTGTGTGTGTGTGTGTTGTGTGTGTGTGTGTGTGTGTGTGTGTGTGTGTGTGTGTGTGTGGTGTGTGGGTGTGTGTGTGTGTGTGTGGTGTGTGTGGTGTGCTGTGTGTCTGTTGTGTCTGTGTGTGTGTCTGTGTGGTGTGTGTTGTGTCTGTGGTGTGTGTCTGTGTGGTGTCTGTGTCTGTGTCCTGGTCTGTGTGTGGTTTTTTGGGTCTGTGTGTGTGTCTGTCGTGGTGTGTCGGTGTGTGTATGTGTGTGGTGTCTGTGTGTCTGTGTCTGTGTGTCTGTTGGTTCTGTGTCTGTGTATGTGTCGTGTCTGTGTCTGTGTCTGTGTCTGTGTCTTTTCTGTGTATGTGTATCTGTGTCGTGTCTGTGTCGTGTGTCTGTGTCTCTGTGTTCTGTGTCTGTGTTCTATGTGTCTGTGTCTCTGTGTCGGCTCTGTGTCTGTGTCTCTGTGTATGTGTCTGTGTGTATGTCGTGTTTGTGTCTGTGTGTCTGTGTGTCTGTGTGTTGTGTGTCTGTGTTGTGTGTATCCTGTGTCTGTGTGTCTGTGTGTTGTTGTGTGTGGTGATGAGTGGGTGCGTGTGCGTGCGTGCGTGCGTGCGAGTGCGTGCGTGTGCGTTCGTGTGTGTGAGTGTGTGTGCTGTGTGTGTGTGTGTGTGTGTGTGTGTGTGGTGTGTGTGTGTGTTGTGTGCGTGCGTGCGGGTGTGTGTGTGTGTTGTGTGTGTGTGTGTGTGTGGGTGTGGGTGTGTGTGGTGTGCGTGTGGTGTGGGCGTGGGCGTGGGCGTGGCGTGGGCGTGGGCGTGGGCGTGGGGCGGTGGGCGGGGCGTGGGCGTGGGCGTAGTGCGTGCGCGTGGCGTGGGCGCGTGGGCGCGTGGCGCGTGGGCGCGTGGGCGCGTGGCGCGTGGGGGCGTGGGGGATGGGGCGTGGGGGCGTGGGGCGTGGGGGTGGGGGGGGGCGGAGGGGCGTGGGGGCGTGGGGGCGTGGGGGCGTGGGGGCCGTGGGGGCGTGGGGGCTGGGGGCGTGGGGGAGTGTGGCGTGTGGGCGCGTGGGCGCGCGTGCGCGCGTGTGCGCGCGTATGTGCGGCGTGTGTGCGCGCGTGTGTGAGCGCGTGTGTGCGTGCGTTGGGTGTGCGCGCGTGTGTGCGCGTGCGTGCTCGCAGCGTGTGTGCGAGCGTGTGTGCGCGCGTGTTTGCGCTGCTTGTGTGCGTGCGTGCGTGCGATGCGGGCGTGCGTGCGTGCGTGCGTGCGTGGCGTGCGTGAGTGCGTGCGTGCGAGCGGGTGTGAGTGGTGCGTGAGTGCGTGCTTTGCTGCGTGCGTGCGTGCGTCCCCCGTGCGTGCGTGGTGCGTGCGTGCGTGCGTGCGGTGCGTGGTCGCGTGCGTGCGTGGGTGGGTGGGGGTGGGTGGGTGGGTGGGTGGGTGGGTGGGTGGGTGGGTGGGTGTGGGTGGTGTGTGTGTGTGTGTGTGTGTGTGTGTGTGGTGTGTGTCGGTGTGTGTGTGTGTATGTGTGTGTGCGCGTGTGCGCGTGTGCGTGTGCGCGTTGGCGTGTGTGTGCGTGCGCGTATGCGCTTTGCGTGAGGTGGCGCGCGCGTGCTGCGCGTGGCTGCGTGCGTGTGCGCGGCCGCGGGTGAGCTCGTGTGCGTGGCGCGGTGTGCGCGCGTGTGATGCGTGTGCGCGCGGTGAGGAGCGCGTTGGCGCGCAGCGTGCGTGTGCGCCGCCGCCGTGGGTCGCGCTTGCAGGCGCGTGTGCGCGCGGTTGTGTGCGTGGTACGTTGTCGCGTGTGCAGCGCGCGTGACGCGGGCGCTTGTGCGCTGCGCGCAGGCGACGAGGTGGTGCGCGCGCGTGCGAGCAGCGCAGCGCGCGAGCGCGCGCGGTGCGTGCGTGCGTGCGTGCGGGCTGTGTGGGTGGGTGTGTGCGCGCGTGGGTGTGAAGTGCGCGTGTGCGGTGCGTGGCGTCTGTGTGCTCGTGACTGTCCTGTGTCTGGTCTTGTCTGGTCCTGTTTCGTGTCTGGTCGTGTCTGTTTTGGGTCAGGTGCCAGGTGACCGTGTGCTGTGCGCGTGCCCGTGTGCCGGTCAGGGGGGCATGCAATGCGCGTGTGCATGTGCGCGCGCGTGTACGTGTGCCCGTGTGCGCCTAGTGCGCGTACAAGAAGCCGTGCGCGTGTGCGATTGTGCGGGTGTGCTGTCCAATGTGCGAGAGTGCGCGAGGGTGCGTTGTGTGAAGTGTTTGGGGTCGTGCGCTGGCTGGTTTTGCGTTTTCCCTCCACTGCTCGCTCTGAAAACCAACAGGTCAACTGCGGGTCAATTTGTTCGCGGCGGGACTCTACACATTGTGCTGCGTTTATCCTACAGCGTTTCTTTCTACTTCGACGTCATCGGGAATGTATTGGCAAAACCTCCTCAGCAGCGGCGTCATCGATCTTCAGCGCCCCTGGCACCATGGAAGGCCACGGTCGAGAAAACTGAAAAACCACACGAGATTCGAGCCTTCAGCAGGCTTTACTTTAAGCTTTGGACGACGCGCCTCCTCCGGTAAAACGGGCCCAGAAAGCGGACGAAAGGCCCAGCTTCATCACCTCCATCCGTCGGGCTACAGAAAATAGACTGAACGACAAGGCTTGCTGGAAGGGTTTAGATGGACTTGCACAGTCGCAAGCTTCGTGCTGTAGGTCTTCTTGCCTTCCCTTTCGCATGCGCTCATGAGCAATGTTCACAGTTTCTGTCTTCTCGTGTGGAAGCCACTGTTGTTTGCCTCGCCATGGCTCCCTCACACAGGGAGTAAGTGCCACCTGTTCTCACAAATCCCATCAGTGATGCCTGATGCTCCCAACTTCTGCTGCGGGTGGGGCGATGTGTGTGACATTCGTCGCACTTGCTTAACGAGAGCCCCTCTAATGCTTTCGATTGTCCAGGTCCTCCAG